TCATCAAACGCTTCACTTGACCCATTACCTTTCATTCCTTTTGTAGCACCTAAGTGTCTATCGTTGTTATTAAGTGATCTCTCCCACACCCTCTCAATAGACTCTGATGGGTTGCCATTGGCAGAATCTCGCATTCTTTTGCGCTATCATCGTCACACATTCATCAACATCTCGTCGTTTTTGTCGTATTCGCTATATTCTTTCTGTCTGAAAGAAGTAATTGCTAAGTATCATATTTTCAGACGACTCAATAAATGCGACTAATAGTATAACATTATGTGGTTAAGCATAGCTGCAATACTTGGAATAGCATTACTAACAGAATCTTTTCAAAAATGTCCCAATGGGTGAGTATTTTGTTTGTTTTCTAGTTGTTTTATCAATTTTGCCGAAGTTGGCCTGTCGATTGTTGGGACGATATCTTCATGAGCTGTTTCAAAACCCTTACTTTTCCTTGATTGCACAGCAGAATTTTTTGGAGAACTTATTGTTAGATAGTTTTGGATGTATCGACAAGGTGTTCTAGAAAACCTTTTGATAAACTGCTGTGCCTAAATATGTGGTTTTCTATTTTGACCATTTCTTTGATATTTTCTTGTTTTTCTTGGGAATATTTCAAGCGTTTTTTCAGTTGTGATTGTCTCCCGGATCCACTAGTAGAGTCATCGTTTTCCTACCTGTGCCGATGGTCGTCCCTCCCGTCCGACTTCCGGTTTTCAAATTCGTCTTTGATGCGATCTATTCAAATTGTCTGTGAAGACAGTTTTGCGCTACCCGATGGTCTTTTCGGTGCCGTTGGAAGCCTCCAGCATTTGTCGATTGAGGTATTTAACGTATTCAATTTCGTTCGTTTCAGTACCTTCTTTTCATAGGGATTATGTACGTATTGATGCCGATTATGGCTCTAATTTGAGGGCGAACAATTACGTTATTTCATTTTACGATGTCCGAGCATATGTAGGGGATGAGATAGCCATCTCGTTGCGCAATCGTATCGGTCGAGGTGGGAACAGACCATTTGGCCTACACAATACAGGATTACCGTTTGTATGGAGGCCGTGTGCCCCCACTCGAACCCGGAACACATGACATTCTGTATTTGCATGACGTGTCAGGCTTATACAATCTGTCGAAAATGGCCTTGTCAGGGTGGTTAGTATGCCATGAACAGCAACTGAGAAGTCTACTTATTTGAGTGGCTTTGTGAATAGCTGGATATAGTACCGACTTCAATTCTTTTGCTCACCATCCACGATGCCATAAATCATACAATACTCTATTACGACGGCTCTGGCGGGGTAGGTGCGTTTTACAGCCCATTTATTTCCCACTGTTTGTAAATTGCGCGAAATCGTCTGGCCAGTAGTAAGCCATGTGTACAAATATTACTCCATACATAGATCGTAATGTCGTAGTGTGTACCTATCCGTGAGATTCTTCAATATGCTTCATTCAAAAAGAGTTGCCTATCAACAAAAAAAAGAATGTTTCATGAAATGATGTCAGAAACTAAGAAGGAATACGTTTTGAGAGAAAGAATGGTGTTAAATAGCATCAACCAGATGTCATGCTAGTACGTTCATAGGGAGAAACGAATTGGCCTTATATGGGTAGGTTTACTGATGAACAGTGGAATTGATCAAATTTTGCATGGTTCACATTTCTCTATAGAAGCTTGCACTTTTGTTATAATGCGTCCGAATGCGTTCATGTCCCAATAATATTCCAATATTTTGTTGAATGGGGTATTTGTACAAATTTGGTCTGTTTTTTTTTGCTGTAGCGGCTTGCTCCTATGAAATTCTACCAGCAAAAATTCTGATTTTGTTGAGCGGCGCCCAATTCTATGTAAACGACTATATACAAGTTCCCTTTTTGTTCAGTTTTTGAGAAATTGATCGTAGAAATCTATTCTTGCTTAAAAAATCCTATGAACAAACTATTCCAGCGTTTGAACTATCTCTAAGAGCCGTTTTTGGTTGTGGGGGAAATTGTGGGGTAAACTCGACTTCAAATTTGACTTTAAACTTTGGCTCGACTTTAAATAGCTCAGAGGTCGGAATGGTTTTTAACATTCATTTCTAGACGTCGTGCGACTTAAAAAAATAGGTTGTGGATTATAGTCTGAACGTCAACGCCTTGTCCTTGCCAAGGGTTTGTGGAGTTAATCGCTTAAGCCTTTAGGTGTTTTCCCTGGCGTGCAGTCATTATGGGATCACTGGTCTTGAGATCCGGTCCGTTGATGAATATTGCCTGGGACGTGACAGCTTAAGAGCAGCGTTTTTGCCGCGTTATTAGCGTCTCAATCTGCACTGCCTGCCTTGAGAACAATTACATTGCAACGTCTGGGGAATGACTGATTGTAGAGCGTTTTATGAGGTAAAATGGCGTCGATTAATTCTTTTCAGGCATGTCGATCGAGGGAACTTTCCACAGCTCTATTGTCACCATTGACCAATTTGCGATCACTGAATCTTCATGAAGTGAGATTGTGTTGTAAAAAATTCATTCAGCTTTCTTTAAAGAGGTTTTCACTATTTCCAGATGGCTTTGGTAGACAAGACGTTCTCAGTATCAGATGAGGCGTTAGAGCCGCTGAAACGACTGGAGAAATTGAGTATCACTAATTCGCATCTTCTTCACTTACCGGAGAAGCTGCTTTGCAACCTCAAAAATCTCCAGGTACATCTTTTCAAGTTGCTTTCCTTTCAAATCAGCTCCCTCTCATTTCCTGATTATTTGCAACTTGTTATTGGTGGCAGCTGACATTTCGTATTCATCTCTGTTTGAGTGGTGCACAATCGATACGTAATTATGCTGTTTATTAGCCGCGTGGATCACTTCATTTTGTGCTTATACAATATGCCGGGGGCCGCCATCTGGTCCTGGTGGCCATGATGAATCATGAAATGTCCGAGATTTCGGCGCACACGTTAGATCAGCAGGTGTTTCAACAATCTGCGTTAGCTTATAGCCACAGGGGAGATGTAATGATATGCTAAAGTAGCCAGGTCTAGAATGATGAATCAGCGACACATGTGGCTGTCTTACGCTGGCTAAGGGTCAGATTTTTCATAGATTAGCTCCGCCGCATAAATTTTGATAATTCCTGCTCAGCTCCGTGGGGATTCTTGTG